TTAACAATGTGGTGACGAGTAATATAGAACAATTAATCACAAATTATTATATTTTATTATTTTTGTACTTAAAACTTCTTTATTGTTGTATACAGACGTTATATAGGATAATAATCATTATTTTTCTTCTAAAAATGATTTAAATTCTTTCAACATTTAAAATGATTTTTTTTTTCGTTAAAAATGTTTAAAGAGTTTAGATTAATAATATGTATAATCAATTACGTATTATTTGTTGATAAAAACTTATTTAAGATTATTCAAATGTAGCTAATTACTATATAATGCTAGATAATATTTATTACAAATCAAAATTACCAAAAGCATTTGTTTAAATATATTTATATACTAATACTAACTTAATAACATTCTGACTATAACTATATTTTCATATACATATGTGTATAATTATTATTGGCAGTGTTATTCGGTTAAAATCGAATTGATTTATTATTATTTTTGTCATTATTTATTTCGCAGAAATAGTTGAGTAATGCTGGTTTATGCATATAATTCTTATTATTTTAATTTGAATAGGTATTAAAAATATGGTTTTAATTTTTACTTTTATTTCCAGTTGTAATTTAAAATTAAATTTACTAAACATCAATACCAAAATGTTGTTAATTGTAGTAAATTACACAAGTCAATAAATATTTTTTATTCGCCGTTATAAATTGAATGTATAACAATAGGTAATTAATAATTTTACTTCACAATTAATACCGCTATAAACCACTTATATTGAAAACATTAACATTTCTTAATGGTATGTAACAATGATAATAATTACAAACATTGAATTCCGCAATTATAAATGTATAAAAATATAAACAATTTAAAAATATTTGAACACCTGTACACCGGTAAAAATGTACAAAGCTCATTTCGTACTAGTCTTATCAATAATTTGTTAAAAGAAATTTGAATATAACTAATAATTGAATAATTAAAATAATATAATATACATATTACTATAGTAAATTAGTTATCTAAAAAAGTCATTGCGTTATAAATAAGTTTGGTGTTTGCAAATAACATAAAATGGATTCGATTAAAAATATAATCAAAATTGTGTAAATATTTTTTAAGAAATTACTGACATTGACACAATTTGGAAACCAAACGATTTCATTGTAAGATTTTGAGTAGTTGTTTTGTTCATCTAAGTTGATTTATATTTAAGTATGATAATATTTGTAATATTTGTACAAACATTCATATTATATGATAAATCATAAATTATGATGTAGTGAACAATGTATTGCATCGTCGTTAGCGTGATATTGTCGTTG